CAATTTTCCAAAGTGAGCCTAACTCCTCATATGGGCCTTACCTCAAAGTCCATTAATTATTCTAGTCCATTTTCTTGATCTTGGATGACCCATTAATAACCCAATCATCAAGGCCCAACAATAAACCCAAGTGAAATTAGGGTTTCTCATAAAATAACGATTAGGGTTAAGTGTTTCTCACTTAACCCATTAAGGACTTAATTCATTAAGTCCATCATTCTTCTAATTAAATCATATGGTGTGATTGGGCTTAATACACAATTCCATTCTAATGTCCTAAATGTGGGTCCCGATAAGTCCAAGCCCATAAATCCAATATTAGGGTTTCCAACCCCATCTTAGCCTAATAGGCCCAATATCTAGGTCTTTTGATCAATTAAGGTTCATTAGGCCCATTAGGGCTTCACTACGCCCATTAGTCACATGTTTGGGCTTTTAGGCCATTTAGGGTTTCATTGGGTCCACTAGGGTTTCTTAGGCCCATTAGGGTTTTAGTCCCTTGTCCAAACATCCAAACAAGTTACAAACCAAACAAAGTACACCGCCACCAGATGCAGCCACCGGTGGCGGCAACCACCATCCTACGGTGGTGGTTTTGAGTTTCATTTCCATTATTCCTTTATCGATTAAAGCATACAATGCAACATCTCAAATAATATACACACACACTAAAAATAAACACACGCACAATAAAAATAAACACACACAACCACCTATTGGTGGCCGACGGTGGCACATGGCGGTAGCCACCACCTCACGGTGGTGGCAGTGGCCTTCTTGGTCTTCCAGCCACACAAAACACGCATTTACACACTTCAGGTTGCACTAGACATTCCAACCACCCACCTGGTGGCTGATGGCGGCGACAACAATGGATTTGGGATGGTAGCCACCACGGTGGTCTCTTGGTTCCTGCCTACAAAAACATACATGCTTCATTATTAGCTCCTAAAACAACCCCTAAAGGCGAACACTCATGCATTCAGCCACCTACAAGGTGGCAGGACATTGCCGGAATGTCACAGAACGACGACCAATGGCGCCAGTGGCCCAAAACGATGACTAAAGGGCTGCATATGGTAGCAACCGACGTATAAGGTGCCGAATTACCGAGAATAGCGAATAAGAGGAGAGGGGAAGGTGGAAGATGGGCTTACCAGCGGTTTTCCGGTCGCTCCTGACTCTCGCAACAATAATACTCACTCAATTGTCAGTGTTGGTGGTTTCTGACCTCAAGGGCGACTGTACGGTGGCGGAGGAAAGATGGTGATGCTGGTGGGAGTCATAAGGTTGGCGGCTGCTATCACATTCCATATGGTTAGGGTTTGGACGGGGTGACAGGTTACATACCGCCGATCCCCACAAACTTTTTTCCATAATGTCACACACGGTCCCTCCCCTTGACATTTCTTTCAAAATAAGGTCAATATTTACCATTTACACCCTCAACATCAAAATCCATTACAATTTAGGTACTATATTTACCTAACAGCCCTCCACTTTGAGAATCTTTGCAAAACTAATCCAGGGTTTACCTTTTTAACCCCCAATTCTCAACTATGACATATTCAACCCTTCCCTTCTCTTTTCCTTTCAAATTAAATCCATATTTACCCAAATAGCCCCTCTTCTACAAAATATTTCCAATATAAGTCCACAAACTACAAAACGAACCTAATTGATTACTCTTTAGCCATATATTCAAATATTCTTCCCACTACGAATCCCGAAGGCACTCTTTAGACCTCCAAAACCAATTATAATGTCAGTTACACACTTTTCCACTGATCATAAATCAGAACAAATAATACTTAAAACATATTTTTTCTAATTTTAGGGGTTGTCTTAGAAACAGGGTGTTACATAAATAGACTCCATCAATTTTATTTTTATTTTACCTAATTTTGAAAAACAATATGATTTAGGTAACGACATGAATTGATTAGAGTATTTGTCATCGTTTGATGAATTAAATTACAAGGTTTATTCATTTACTAAAATTAAGATATTTATTGTTATCTATATCACATTCATATTTATATGTATTAATTAGGCTAACGATATTCACACAAGCAACGCACATCAGAATCGTGATAATGAAAGAAATTATTTTAGTAGCGACACATTAGAATTTAAAACCAACATGATACAAGTTTTAGGTTTACTAGTATAGTTATTAATTGGTAAGTTTAGTAGTTTCTAATAAAATAATCATTTACATGTATTCATTTCTCGTAAACAATATTTGGTTGTGTACAAAAGACAAGGTGTTGACTTGGTTATGATATTGTAATAAAAAGATCTCACATGTGATGATTAGAAACTATTTTTAATAGCTAGACTTTAAATAAATAGAACTTCAAGAAGCAAAAATTACATAATACAATAAAGATGGTTTTTAGCCCATGAGTACCATATCAAAACCCTACACTATTTAGCTTTACTCTTAAATTAGAAAAAACTCAAAGTCTTGACCTCATAAGTTTTAGTAGACAATCTCTTCAATCTGCTATTGAAAATCATATGGTTCATGTATGTCCATATGGTCCATAATAACGCCTTTGAGATCGCTTCAAGAATATCTTGAGACCTTCTACTCACACAATAAATGGAGTTCATCCCTAGGAAAGTGTGAAATGATTCGTTCAAGATAGGAAGATCATTCCACTAATTGAGAAGGAGCTCATGAATTTCCTTAGCCGTGGAATAGTTCTTAAAAACGTGAATCTCATTCTCTACAAAAGCATTCCAAAGCAAACACATGGTGGATGGAATGCTTACCCCTATGTGCAAGTTTAAATCTAATGGACAATCTACCGAGTTTTAAATGCCAAATGTAGATAATTTTTTTCGCGAACCACCTTAGACCATATGGTAGATAAGTTAGTGCACAACAATGAATGATTGTCAAATTCCTTCCTTAAAGAAGAGGTTGTGAAATCTCCTCCCCGATTGAGATTCCAACACCAATTGCTTGATACTGAATTACCCCTATGTCAACAATTATATAAAATAGGTTAATTAAGTTAATGTTGGACTTCTCTGTGTCTAAATTAATCTTGTTGATTATTCCCTATACATTGATTATGTTACGACTTGAAAGTGACACACCCAACCCTCCATGCTTGCCATAAATGCATCTAATAACTTTTTTCAAGTTGTATATGTGGTATCCCTAAAACCATGTGATAATTAAGAACTACTAAACCAACCAAGTTGGGATCCCGTCTTTTTAGCCCAGTCTATTAATTTTTCACGAGAATTGAATACATGGAAATGATTTTTTATTAGAAACTACTAAACTTACCGATTAATAATTATACTAATAAACCTAAAACTTTTTACCATTATGGTTTGAAATTCTAATGTGCCAATATCAAAGTAACTTCTTTAATTATCATCATCTTAATGTGTATTTTTTGTGTGAATATCGTTAGCTTAATTAATACATTTAAACATTAATATAAGATATACATAAATATAAGTATCGTAATACTTATAATTAAACATACCTCGTAATTTAATTTATCAAACAATGAGATACTGGGGCCAACTTATGTTGTTACTTAAATCATGTTTTTTTCAAAAATTAGATGCGATGAAAATAAAATTGGAGGGGTATATTTATAAGAAAAACATTACATATGTTATCATTCAGGTTCGTTGAATTGTTAGTAGGATAAAAAGTAATTATGTCATTGAATGTGTATCTATTGTCGGATAAGAAACCATAAGATATAATTATATATTCAAATGTTAAATTTATAGTCCTCTTATTTATAAGGTATTTTAGATTTTCATCGATCCTTTTTATTTTTAAACATTATTTATATATATTTTTATCTTTTTATTTTGTTATTTTTTTAAATATTTTTAATTTCGTGATTGTCGTTAGATATAAATTTAGGGGTATTATATAGCTAGATACCTTCATATCAAATAAAATTACTTTTTTTAAAAGTATATGATATGGGTACCCTACCCTCTACATCGTTATTGTCTATGTGGAGGGCTTAAACGTGTCTTAACATTAGACACACCGCCACGCTTGTTCGTTTTATTGCTCCTTGTGGTAACGACGACCTAGAGCAACGACATCTTCTTCTTCTTTCTTTCTCTGTTTTTTTTTTCACCTTTAGTGCGGTATAACATGAAGAATTCTATCCCTTAATCTCGTTGTGAAGAAAAGATGATGTGGTTGTATTGTAGGCATTGGTGGAGCTAGGTGGGGTTTTGGGGGTACTTCAGTACCCCAAAAAAATTGTTTTATATATATAAAAAATATTATTTGTAAACATGTTTCATTTTATTGTATCCCTAACTAAAGAGATTATAACATGTTTTTTAATGTTCGATATTGAATAATCAAATATAATATATTGACAATGTTTGTATCTATATATATCAAAAATTCATATATCAAAAATTCTAATTCCGCTAATGATCAATGATTGTAGGTGGATACGGGTGCTGCGCATATATAGCCAATACCCTAATGCATGTAAATTCAATTCAATGGCTTCCAAGTGGCGGTTGTATTAATGACTTCTATCAGTCACTGTGTAATTAATTATTGGCTTGTATCAATCACTTCTTATTTGCACGAATGGACGAACGGCTGTGATAATTCAGATCGACGCACACTCTTTGCTCCAATATTGAGATGTGAGACACGGATGACGGAGTCGATTACAATATTGCCTTCTGCTAGATAGAGCCTCGTAGAAGCCTCATTTTCCACCGTTACTCACCGGAACGCTAAACAGTATTATGTTACTTTTGTTGATAAAAACTAAAAACATGTGTCGGCTTACTGATTAAGTGATAAGTCATTTTCTACCAACAGAATACACACCAGGATTCATGCATGTTCTCCTTGTGTGAAAAGTTGTTTCATCCTCATGTTGCCAGTTACAAGCAAATATAATATAGATTTGAAACACAAGTCTAAGGAGATGTCAAGGAGCAAGTGCTAGAAAGACTCCAAAGACGAACAGGCGATGAGAAAGAGAAAGAAGATTGACCGGTTTGTCTTTCTTCATGATGACATCCTTTTTAATTTTTTTAAAAGGCTTCCAGATGCCTCCTTCGTTATAGAGCTAAGTATGTCAGTAGACAATGGTTCCTTATATGAATGAAGGATAACATTATTCACGTGACCCGGTTTCAATTCAAGGTAGGTACTTCTACTGGGGTATTTATTCTTCTAACCACCTGGTTTTCATGGATATCGTAAGAGAGAAAATTTTCCAGATGAGCCTACCTGGACGTGGTTTGCGTAGGAGATGTGATTATTCTCTTTTTGTGATGGGTGGTTTCCTGGCTCTCTTTGATGGTGTTTCGTGGGACAAAGCTGAGATAAGGATTCTTAAAGATTTGAAGATGATGAAGTGGGAGAAGTTGCAGAATTGGAGCTTTAGGGTATCTCCTGGAACTTGTCGGTATCGGGTCTCTGGAGTGATAACTGATAAGTAAGAGATATATCATCCTGAAATCTAGAGTCGATAATGGCATGTATAGTTATGATGTTAAATTTGGACTCGTGAAAGAGCTAGACATCCACATTGAATCTGATGATGAGCGTTGTGTGGTTCATTCATCATCACCAAGTTATATATAATACATGCCACAGATGGATGCCAAAAACCACAAGTAAATCTATGAATGTTTCCTTTTTTGTTACTCTGTGTTAGCAAATTAATTAGATGCTGTAAGCAAAGTAATAGTCCTTATAATTAATTTTACAACGGTGTGTTCTCTTTCTTCTTGATTAACATGTGGGAAAAATCTTAATTCCTAGCTAATCATTCCCATTTTTTCAAATAGTATGCGTGGACCCCAGCTTCAAGATCCTGTAGGAAAGAAATCAACCCTACGTGGAATTCTAACTCATCGCTTAACATATTTGTAGACAAGACATTAGCAAAAATCTGTTGAACCGAAATAAAAGGAGTATTTTAAAACAAAATGATCAACATTAACAATACATTACTCCTTAACGATAGCAAAATCAACAAGATACGTTGTAGTTTATTAACATCAACACTACAACAAACAGGACTTTAGGACCGCCAAATTCATGTTTGATGTGCCGTTCTAAAAAAAGAAAGAAAAAACAGATATTTCAAATGTAGTCACAGAACAAGTGGTCACTGTTCACTATGCGTTATGCAATATGCATATTGACTATATCATCTATTGTATGTATTTCTAATATTGACTATATTACATGTTATTCTTATTCAATTTGTTAAATGTTGTTTTTTAGTTATTTTGAATTAATTTTTTTTCCACATGTGATTTTAGAAGTTTTTTTTTTTATTTTAATAAATTTCACATAATATTTTAATGTAATAATTACAATAAATATAGGAACTTATCTTTTTATTTTTAAAATTCTCAAATTAAAGCTCATTATTTTATTTTATTTATTTATTTAAATTTAAAAAATAAAAAAATCAATTTTAATAATTCATTATTTTTTTTATTTTTTTATAAATTCAAAGTTCTTAAATATTTAAAACAATATATTTATTTTTTTTTATTTAACTTATATAATACATAAATTTTATATCTAGTATTTTAATATTTACTAGGTGTGAGACCCATGTATTACATGGGGTTAATTAAAAAAAATAAATATAAAATTTTAATAATTTGAATAGTTTGAATTTATAAGAAAAATAAGAAAAAATTGAATTATTAAAATTAATGAGACTTTAATGTATTGAATATATTACATATATAAACTTTTTCTAATAAATACTTTACATATATATTACTTTACACATTAAATGTGGAATTTTAATTTAATAAAATGAAAAATACAATAAAATGACAAGTGGAAAATAGAAATTTTAAAAATTGTAGAAAATATCATGTGTCCAAATGAATGAGAAGAAGACATGTAGAAAAAAAAACTTTCATTTATTATACTAAACTAGGTTAAAACCCATGGAATCTACGGTTGTTAATTTTATATATAACTAAAAAAATTGATTATCTAATAAAATGTTCATATGATTTCAATATTGAATCTCTTATATAAATTGAAATTGAAAGAAATTTGAATTTGATAGAACCTTTAAGTATTATAAAACTATAACTATTTAAATTTTAATATTGATAAACTCTTTTAAGTTTATAAAATAAGTTTATTTAAATTTTAGTTTATTTTAGCAGTATGTAGATGCTAAAAAAACAAAGTCTTCTTCTTGCACATTGCAAATGTTTAGTCTACTTTTTTACTGCAGAAGTCTGAAGATGTGGTCTATAAACTGCATATATTTTGCCTTTGAAAAATTAAACAACATCTAAGAGTGGGATAGATTGTGTCATTTTTTGGGGATGAATTAGATATTTGGGTATGTTTAATCTTTTACAAAAATGGTCCTTCAATTATTAATAGTGTTAAAATATAAACAAAACAAAAAGAGTAGCGTAAAGGTCATTTACGGGAACTTAAAATAATCATAAAAGATGTTACATGATTTCAGTTCTTGAGTTCTTCCCTTGCAAAATAGGATCGATATTACTTGTTTTGGACTTTGAGTTCTTGAGTTCCTCCCGTGATTCCAATTCTTGAGTTCTTCGGTTCTCCCCTTCCCTACAAAATAGAAAACAAATGAATCAGGTAAGTCCTTCTGGGTTAATAGATGCTTTTTTCTTACTTTCCAATTCCAAAATATAAAAGTATTTTGTGTTGGCACTTGGCAAAATTAATCAAGTTTTTGTTTCAATTTTCATTTAATCATATATTTAACACCTTATTGAATCATCAGAAAATATTATGATGTTCTTATAAATTATGCCTCCTAGGTAACAATCTAGTTGTTAAAGTCATAAAAAGAAAAAAAAAATGAAGAATTAAGAAAAGGGTCAAAGTGGGTCTCTATATAAGTTTACCCTTAAAAACCACAAATTTCTTCTCATAATCAAAACAATTATGATATTAATGTTGATAATATGGGTGTTGATGTTAACCGAGATCAAATTAATGATGTTAATATTAACGATGCTCGTGTCGATGTAGATCATGTTGATTGTGATGATGTTGAAGATGGTGATGTTGTTGGTGATATATTTGATCCAAGAATTTGGGAGGGATTTAATAGAGACTTGATGAAAATATTGGAAGAGAAAGTTCCTAAAAGAGATTATACTATTGATAATGTAACAGAATAATGCAAAATACTTTGAAACTAATTCTTTATTAATGAAGAACAATTTCATAAACTAGATTTAATCAGAGAACAAACTATGATTAAGAACACACTCTTGATGATTTTTTTCACCAAGAAGGTTATCAACTATATATAACAAAGACCTATCATGAATAAAATCCTAGAAGTACATAAATACTAGGTGTCACCGTCATAAAAATCCCTAAAGATCAGGGAGTATTCTTTTCAAAACTTAGAAACTCTATCTTGACTTGAATATCAATTGATCCTTGTCACGAACTATAATGATCCCAACTTGTAGTGCAAGAATCGTGAGATCACGCTAGCGTGTCTTCAAAATCACCCTTTAAGGCCATTAGTGCAAACATACACTAAGACTATCAACATCAATATAATTGATAGTGTAAGAATTTCATTTAACTCATAAAATCATAGGATTTGACTAAAAAATCTCCCCATATTTGATGATGTCAAAACTATACTAATAATACTATAAAGGAACTGAAAAACTCTTTGTATACATAGAGATTTTTCATTTATAAAATTTACAACATAATACAAGATAAGGAACAAATTCCATATAAGATCTAACTTCAACATCTACATCAATGATCTCTTGTTTCTCAACAATGTACTCACTCTGTCGTAACTTATCCATCCTCTTGTTTAGAAAGTAGTAGATGGAAACCATTTACTATTTGTTTAATTCTACAATCATTAATCACCTTGAAGATATGAGTTGTGAGAAGCTTATAAATGTCAACAATTCTCATAAAGCACGTCACATCATTCTCGTCCTTGTGGAACATGTCATGTACCAGGTGAACGAGCTTGTGAGATACTGGTTCAACCCTAATAGGCATTATGTTGTTTATTTATTATTTTTTTCATAAGGAAATATTGGATTCACATTATTATCAGTCACATGCCTTCCTCTTCTTTTCTCTTGGGCTCCTTTGTAGGAAAGTTCATGGGCTTCAACAAGAACCAGATTCAGTTTGGAGTGTGAGGACAACCATTGACCATTCAAGGCATGTTTGTGGGTGTTGAAGGGATAACCACTTAGAAGTGCACTTATGAACATTCATAACATGTGTTCATTAATGATGTTGTAATATATATTGAATTTCTCTTGCGGTTGTTACATCCTTCCCTCGTGACTCTCTTGTTGTTTCCTTGTAGTTTTTTTATGAGTCTTTAGTTTTGAATCTCGTATAAACTCTCATATCTAGTTCCTCAATTTCCACGGATATTCATCACTCACTTTCTCTTCAATATTGACCAACTGCCTTGCAAATCAGGCTTTATCATTGAATTTAACAGTGTACTCTTGAAGTGATTCGACCATTAGACGAATTGGGAAATTTTTTTCTCTAATTTTTGAATTGTAGTTTAAGAATACTACTCTTCATAAAATTTTAGTTTAACTTACTCCCAGGTCAACATACCTTTTAATTCTTCTCCCAGTGTACTACTGATCATTTCCCACCAATAGTGGCATAATCCACCTTATCTTTTTCCGCACAGTTGTTGGTACGAAACCTTTTCTCAGTATAGGTCAACCACGTCATAGCAACTATCGGGTCATCTCTTCCTGAAAACTTTGTGTGTTTATAGTCCATGAATGCCTTAGAAGTGGATCCCATCTTATTAGAAGTATCCCCTTTTTGGTCCTCACTTCTAGTCTTACCCTGTTTCTTTTTGTTAACATCCTCCGAAATCTTATATTGCTTTCATTTCTTATTTGACTTTTCCCAAGCATTGAAGAGAGCACACAACACATCTCAGATGTCTTTAACTACCTCTTTTGCAATTGTTTTGCTAAGTTCTAGTGGTTGTTTGGGTAGTATTTCATGTCCTCTTTGACGTACGGAGCCTTGCGATCTTTCTTGTATACACCCATCCTTTTACCTCTCACTTCTTCCAAAAATCGAAACCCAAATGCTGCATCTTGTATGTACCCATCCCTTTGTCTCTCACTTCTTCCACCTTCTATAGTCGCCAACACCATACCTTCCTCTGCCATCCCTTCTATATCTTTTCTTTTTTTAAATATACTCATGTTCGTTCTTATTATGAAAAAAATATATATACCATGCATTTGTGATTCAACTTCTTCGATTTTGTTGTTAACTCCAAAAAGATTATAAGAAAAGACACATATTTTGGAACGATTTTAAACATAATCTTTAAAGCAATGCTTACAAACTTAAATAAATAAAACAAAAATACAACTAACCCATGACTTATAACTTCTAGGAATGAAAGTACTAAAGAATGTAAGGAACAATTGACTAGTACAACAAATAAAAAGAACATGAGAGTGCTAGTGCTACACGTTAGCGGTCTTAGACCAATTTTGGGTCGGTCTCGAAACGGTCTGGTCTTTTTGAGGTCGGTCTTTTTCCAGACCGGTCCTCGTCGGTCTTTTTCCTGCCCGGTCTTTATTTGGATCGGTCTTTTCGGTACGGTCTTTTTTCGAACCAGTCTTTATTCGAACCTACCTTTTTCAGTCTGGTCTCGCTGTCTTTCCGTGTGTCCCTTGTGGTTCGATTCACGGGCTTTTATGTTGTTCGGTTTCAGTATTTTTCGATTTTTTTGTTTTTGTTTCGAGTTACAAATATGTGATTAACACCAAAATTATAATTAAGATTTATTAAAAATGATAATTTAAATTTAATAAAAGAAAATTATGAAAAAAGTTGGATAATTTGTAATTAAAAATTGTATAATTAACAAAAAAAATGATATATTTATAAAGTTTGGTTACCGGTCTTTTTTTCCGAACCGGTCTCGTTCAATCTCGAACCGGTCTCAAAACGATCTGGTGTTTTTTAGAACCAGTCTCGAAATGGTCCGGTCTTTTTCGGATCTGTCTGGGAAGGTCTCGAGCCGGTCTTTTTTTTTTGTCCAGTCTTTTTTAAGACCAGTATTTTTCCAGTCCCTTCTTGTTTTAGACGATCCAGTCTCAGTCTTTTTTCGGGTCCAGTCTAAGACCTGTCTTTTTGTTCAAGTCTCTAGGTCCCTTGTAGAAGCTTCTAGGCTTTTTTGAAGTCATTCTCACACTTTGACTTGGGTTTCCTTTAATCCCTTAACATTGTATGTGGGTCGTGGGCGTCTCTCTCTTTTGGGCTTGACTATGTGTTGGGCTTGAGGTCGCTGATGGTCCATATCAATTTGAGAAAAAAAAAGAATATAACATCCACTATTAACAAATGTTTCAAACCATGGTTATCAAAATCATGATCCTGATCGTATGATCGTACGATCCGGATCATAAACGAATCATATTTAGGTAGGAAGATCGTATGTAGGATTGTAGGATCGAGATCCAATCCGATCATACCTTCCCTTGATTTTTATTTTTATTTTTATTTTTATTTTTATTTTTATTTTTATTTTTTTGCAAATGATTTTTTTTACCATTTTATATCTTTTACCCTTTACCAATTTACCGTTTATCATTTTGTATTGTAGCTTATTACTAATATTTTGAAGTTTTTATAAAGTTTGAACTAAAAATTGAATTTATGAATATTTTTCATGATTAAAATTATAAACTAAAAATTATATTTTATTTTGTGGATTCCTAAGATCCCGATCGCAATCTTACGCGCCCTATCTTGACAATCATGCTTCAAACCGTATAAATGTCATTTTACGTGAGTTTAAAAAATATAAAATAAAACATGAATTAATGACTAACTGTGTATGAAAATTGAAACACATGTATCATTCGTGTCAAAAAATAATAGTAAAGGACCGAACATACAAGATACAACTTTTGGTATATTTGCATGGAGACATGGACGAATCATAAACCTTTTTTTTTTTTTTTTTTTCTAAAAATAATATGGAATGTTACGTTTTAATTCTCTCCCACTTTTTCCATTTAGATCGTATTGTATTGTGATCGTTGGTGTTCTTCAATCGAATCTAAACCTTTGGCTCATACATCCGCATCTTCTTCTTGATTAATTATCTAATCAAAATCCTATATTGTTCGTCACAATGAAAATCCTGCAGATTGAGTTTGAAAGGTGATTCCCTTCTCGAAAAAGTAAAAAACGCTATCATGGAAACCAAAACTTGTGAAGAATGCGTTGACGATTGTACGCTATTTTGGATTTAAGTTACCTACTACAAAACGCCTCTTCTCAATCATGTCTGAGCCATGGATACTCTCTGCAAAGTTACTGTTTGCGATAATATTAATGCATACATGTCTCAAGGGCGTTGAATCCAGGCCAACCGCCGATGAGGTAGTGGAATTACCAGGCCAACCGCCGGTTACATTCAAACAATATGCAGGCTACATCTCCCTTGATGACGCCAAACCGAGATCTCTGTTTTACTATTTTGTTGAAGCTGAATCCGACTCATCTTCCAAACCGCTTGTGCTTTGGTTGAATGGAGGTAATTTTCGCTATTTCACCCCAAACCTATTCGAATTCATGCATAACGAGTGAAGCATTTGGTTTAATTTTTTGCAGGACCTGGTTGTTCGTCTGTGGGAGAAGGGGCTTTTGTTGAGCATGGTCCTTTTAAACCAAGTGGCAATGTTTTGGTTAAAAATGAGTGTAGCTGGAATAAAGGTATACAGAATCTGCATTGAAAATTCAATGTTGAGTGTATTAATTGCAGAATTAAATTTTCAATAGTGGCCGAGTTTAGCCCTAAATCATGATTTCAGTGATATGATTGGCACTTATCTGACAAGGTCTTTGTGTTCTGTGAACGTTCATGGATGTCTTTGATGAATGCTCTTATTGATTATACATATTTTGAGGAAATAATTTTAGGAATTCCATGTTGTTTTGGCAGAGGCAAATATGTTGTACTTGGATACACCAGCAGGAGTGGGATTCTCTTATTCTGATGAAAAGTCGTTTTATCAATCAGTGAATGATGCCATTACAGGTTCCTTACTTCTTATCAAGAGTGCTGTTCACGATCACTATATGATTCTATGTTACTTATATTCATTTGGTTTTGAGTTAGTATCAAGAGATTTAATATCATGATTGCTTTTGTTACACAATAACTGTTGTTTATGAGTATGAACAAACTGTTTCCAATTATTGTTCATCATTTCAGCTGGCGACAATCTTGCTTTTCTTGAGAAATGGTTTGAAAATTTTCCAGAGTACAAGAATAGAGACTTTTATATCACAGGCGAAAGTTATGCAGGTAAATATATGTAAGAACATCAAAGAGCTTTTGATATAAAATTAGTATGCTAACTTTCATATTTGATTACAGGACACTATATTCCTACACTCGCAAATCTCATAGTTGAATCAAAATCCAAGATCAATTTCAAGGGAATTGCAGTGAGTAATTAATTCAGTCCATGTTTTCTTGTTCATATCAAGTTTTTTCTTAATGAAATTAGCATTTGTTGTGTAGATCGGCAATCCACTATTGAATATTGATACGGATTTTAATTTAAAGGGGGAGTATCTTTGGTCTCATGGTTTGATATCAGATGATACATACGAATTACTCAATAAAGAGTGCAACTACTCAACCATAAGAAGACAAACCGAATCCAATACTCTCACCCCTAAATGCACTCTTGTTGCAAATCAAGCTACAAGGGAGATTGGTCAATCCATTAACGCTTATGACATCACCCTCAACATTTGTTTGTCAAATGTTTTCTCACAATCACAAGTTCTCGATAACACTGTGAGCTAGCTTATCAACTTCCCACTTGTTGTGGAAAAGACATAAATGCCCCTAACGGTTGTTTTTATTTGACAGCAAGGTACGGAAACGAAGGTGGATGTTTGTGTGGAGGATGAAACAACGGAGTACTTGAACCGGAAAGATGTGCAAACCGCTTTACATGCTCGGCTTGTGGATGGTAACCCGTGGGCCGCATGTACAGAGTAATAAACGGTTTTAATTAAGATCCTGGTTTAGTTTATAAAATTTCAGGTTATAATATGTAAATAAATAACAATCTGCTTATTTTTGTTTACAACAGCAATTTGAATTATGATATGAGCGATTTGGATGTGCCAATGGCTCCTTTGTTGGCTTCACTTATCAAGTCTGGGATTAGGGTTTTTATTTACAGGTGAATACGCAAGTAACAACGATGTATTTTCATTGATTTGTCTTTTATTGCATCGATCCTACTTTTTGATTCTTTCAGTGGCGATCAAGATTCGGTCCTACCTTTAACTGGGACACGAATTGTGATCAATGGCATGGCTAAGGAATTAGGGTTGAAGACAACTATTCCATACAGGTCTTGGTTCAATGGCAACCAGGTTAGTTCAGTTATTTTTTGACTTAATGGATCTAAGGGGAATATGAGTGGTTGAATGGGTGGGTAATCATGTAGGTTGGGGGATGGACACAAGGATATGGTGATTTTTTATCTTATGCAACCATTAGAGGAGCAGCACATGAAGCTCCATTTTCTCAACCGGAGCGATCGCTTGCCTTATTCAAAGCGTTTCTGGATGGAAAACCTTTGCCACAGGCAGATGAAATCAGTGAAAAGAATGATCAAACATATGCGGTATTCCGTGTTGAATTACACTAATGAAAACCGCTTTCACGTGTCTCTTGGCCATTTTGATTATAATCAATAAATTCAGTTTTAATTGGTTTGTTGTCGTGCGTCTTTAATGAGCCTCAATGGAAGTTTGTTTCAGCAATTCATGAACCTTACGTTCTTTTTGGATTTAAGCTGACATGAACATGGTTTTTAAGATCTAAATCTTGATCTTAATAAGGTAAACCACACCATTTGGTTGAACCACACGAAACTCAGAGATCTTGATCAAACTAGCTAGGACCAATTCTGAAGCAATTTTGTATTGGGCCACAGAATCATGATTATGATCCTAAGATCTTATCGTGATCTAATTAATCTTGCCTCTTTAGTTTTTATTCGATAACCAAGTTTTTAGTATTCTAAATCCTAGGAATTCTTCAACCTGCAAAAAATTCCCATGTAGAACCTGTTGTCCATTCAACTTGAAATCAAGCCTCAAAAATCTGTTCGTGTAGCTCGCAATTGAGCATTGCAATCGAAAGAAGCCTCGTAAAGCTTTACAAATCCATCCATTCACCTCGAATTAAGCACAAAATCATGTGTCCCTTGGTGATATGGTGCCTTTATAATGGTCACAATCATCTTGTTTCTTATTCCGCTTAAGTTGTTTTTTCCCAATTGTTTTAGTTTGCATCTACAAGAATAATGGTTAATTCTTAAGAATTATAAGTTGATTCTGCTATCAACATCATAATCAACATCAAGTTATAATGGGATATTGGGACCTCGCTAGACCATGCAAGAAAATGTAGGGAGTAGTTCAATTTTTGTGGGGGTGAGCAAAACCGAAACTGAAAACCCAAAAACCAACAAAAATCGATAAAACTGAAACCGAGAAATTGAAATCAAATGCAAACCGTCCGGTTTAGGTTTAGAATTTTAAAAACTGATTTGTTTCGTTGAGATTGGGTTTGCCCTATCAAAACCGTCCCGTTGAAATTGACCCAACCCAACAGTTTTGAAACCGTTTTGCACCCAACCCAACCAAACTATTTTTATGTATTTTGATTTTCATGTTTTGGTTATAAGCTTCAAAACTTGATAGTTTTAATATTTCTTTGAACTATGAAATTGACTTTGGTATTTTTGGTTGTTTTAAATGGCTTGAAAAAAAATTGAATTGATTTGTTAGCTTATTTACATTTTTTGAAAAATAGGTTTAAACCCAAAACCGTGAACCCATAAACCGAGAAACCGAACCCGGTTAGAAACCGAACTCATTGGGATCTAAAACCCAAAAACCGAAATATGCGGGTTTGGTTCGGTTTTACCCCAAAATCGATCCAATTCGACCCATGCTTTCCCATGATTTTTTTTTCAAAATTTTTTGATTTCGATATGATCTAACAATCACAATCTTATTTAGAAAAACGATAATGTATGCAATATCTCAATCTTTATAATCTTCCTTATAAACCCTAATTTTGTACGAGTTTAGAAAAATATATTTATTCCCAAAACTACTATTTATTATTAATAAATACGTATTTATGATACTCTTTGAACATTAATAAAATAAAATAAATATTTAAATATACTTATTTAAATAAAATAAGGTTCCAACTTGATTTAAAAATTTAAAATAGCCTTAAAAGCAAGATTTGTATCGAGTTAAGTCATAAGAGTTTGTCACTATTTGAGTTTTATTCTGTAACCATGTCTTTTGTCTTCCAACCACTAGATTTATGTTTACAAATTGCATGCGAAGCCTAAAAAATGTCCATCGACCTTGAAAAAGTTGAACTCTAACTCAAAATCAAGCATTACACGTCATGTGAAAACTAATAGAAATTTCATATATTTTTCTCGAATTAGGCAAAACATTGTGACATACAAGTTACGTCTAAATGTCCATGGACCTTAAAAAAGTTGAACTCTAACTCAAAATCAAGCATTACACGTCATGTGAAAACTAATAGAAACTTCATACATTTTTCTCGAATTAGGCAAAACATTGTGACATACAAGTTACGTCTTGAGATCTTGTGTGTTTAAGTGTACATGATCACAATGATCTTGTTTTTTCTACTTAAGATGTTTTCTTTCTAATTGTTGTGGTTGGAGTTAACAAAAATTACAACTATAGTTAGATTTAATTTCAAGATCAATGTCTTAATTAATATCATGTTATAATGAATATTGCACAAACAAGATCTTACAAGAAAATTTGGACACCAGTTCATCTTTTGAAGATTTTCCGATCGGGATCCCATCTTATAATCATGATTTTGGAAAACATACAATTATCATAAATAAGATCTTAATTTTGACAACTTTTATCTTACACATTACATGATAACATAGTAAAAATGTTTTATTCTAGCTATAAAGCGTAAATTACACGAAATGTCCTCATGATGTTTGGTCTAATTTGCGAGTTTCATCACTAGCTTTTCTTTTTCACTCACATCGTCCATGTATTAGGTTTTTTTAGCTTTTAGTTTTTTCTATTTAGTTTTTAGTTTTCTATTATGATTTTAAATTTTATAATAATAAGACAAAATTACAAAAATGGTCCATGTACTTGGCAAAACATACAACATTTGGTCCTTCTGAGGAATTTCTTATAAAGATTTTTTCTAACTAAAAACATTTTATAGATGGTCCGTATAGCTAACACCGTTAAAAATAAGGTCTAGTTATTAGTGAAAAGATCAATATACCATTTTGATTTTTTAAAAAAAATACAATTTTAAAAAATAGAAGATAGAAACTTCAAAACGCTTCCAAACACTATATAAAAAAACGCATAATATATCTATAACAAAAGATGTGACATCCCCAAAATCACGGCCAGAAAAGACTGATTTTGTTTATGCTTTATAAAAATCAGAGTACTTCATTTTATAAAAAGGTTGCGGAATTTGTTCCCAGAAAAACATGGTAAAAACGTTATTAAAACATTTTCGAAGAAACGTATTTATTTTATTTTAAAATGTTTGGGATGTCATCGTTAATACCGAAACATAAACATAAACAGAACTTACAATAATTTACACTAGTGATCTACATCTCTTTTAAATCTCTCAGTGTAATGTCACTTCACTTCGTCACCTGTGATATACATAAACTGAGTGGGTCAGGTTGGGAAACCTAGTGAGTACATAGGGTTTTCAACCCACAATAATATAATTACTATGTTCAATCAAACAATCAACCCAATTATCCATCCCCATTATCTTCTTTACTCTTTAAGGATTTAACCTAAGAGTCATCTATCTTGCATTCGTTTATTCCGAAGTCCCTTACCTCCAGGGTTATAGGACTGACACTAAATCCATAGCTGCCAATGTTCGTTCATAAAGCACTATTTCCATAGCTGCTATAGTCTATTCATCGGGTACTAAATCCATAGCTACCAGTGTTTATCTAATAGGCACTAAGTCCATAGCTACCAATTCCTTAACAGGTACTAAATCCATAGCTACCGGTGTTTGTCCAATAGGCACTAAGTCCATAGCTGCCGATGTTTATTAGTTAGGCACTAAGTCTATAGCTGCTAATGTTTACTCACATCATCTTTTATCTCTCACCATTCATCTACCTGTATCATACCCAACATATTTGTGTATATAAAATACGTATACGGTTTAAATCATCTAAAACATGTATAAAAACGTTCATCCAACATAGACAGCAAGTATACAGATAATATGCACATATAACACGTAGTTTATATAAAATACTTCATATCTATGTGTAAGATGAAAGTAACTATGCACTCACCTGAGAAGGTGGTGACTCGGTACTCGGACAGCGCTTCGTTTACTTTAAAATAATTTTCTTTGATGAAACCTAATATTATCACCACTAGATTTTAGTCTAATATTACCGTCACTAATTATTATTATTATTATATAAGCGTTTAAACAATACTTTCCAACTACTATATACAGACAGGGACCAGACATAAAACACCGGAGGGCAGGACCATTTTGGCGTATAGCACTTCTGAAATCCAACAACCCTATGCGGCCCTTTAAACCAGATTCCCCGTACCGTGAGTAGTTAAAAGATATTATAACGACACTTATATAAGTCATAATAATAGCTCAAATATTTATTATAAATTTACAATAACAATACTAATTTTAAATATAAACTATATTTAAAATAGGGTAAGCATAACTTACTTTCAAGGGGATTTTAGCTAGGAGTCGGGCTCTGTAGGGGCAGAACTTCGTCGCTGAATCTTTCTAAGAAAGATTCGTGCAGCGCTTCAGCGCTCACCTTACTATACTAAAACTACAGAAAGAGAAGTCGAATCACGAGGGACCGAAATACTCGGGGGATAAGGAGAGAAAGACTCTTGAATCAAGAGAATGGTGCAAGAAATATGAGAGCCCAAGGCTCTTATTTATACTAATTGAATTTTCAAAAACTACCCTCCATAATTACTTAATGACCTTTTAGTTATATAAACAACTAAACACCCCTCTATAATACTACTTTAAATGGATTTAATGATATTTGTACTAAACTAATGTCGAAAGAACTCAACATTAGTCTTATAATGACCGCATCGTCGATACCTTTCTAATAATATATACATATGTATATATATGTGTACGTATACATGATTTATACTTTATTTTAATACGTAAATATGCTATTATAATTTGTAACTCGTTCATACGAACTCCGTTTTTGACGTTCTTTATATCCACGCGTAGGTGGAGATGTACTCTACAACTTTCGTTTAGACTCCGTCGGCTAATTTTGACTTTATTTTTAAAGTTATATTTTTAACAGGCAGGGACAGGATTGGTCCGTTAAAATCTCATAACTTCTTTATCCGATGTCCATTTTCGTCTGTCTTTATCGTTACGCTACTAATAACGAGATATTCGATTCTTGTTTAGGTTGTGTCGGCTAAAAATCAATCGATCTAAAATTCGAATTTCGGGCTGTACACCGCTAATCTGAAACTTCGAAAAATCATAACTTCTGCATACGAAGTCAGATTTGGGCGTTCTTTTTATCGATGTTCTTAGTTTAACATATTCTACGACTTTTGTTTAGGGCGCTAAGGCTAAATCTATCTCTATCATAAATTTACTATTTACGCTTCCCGGCGCCGTGCCGGTTCCGACGCGAAACTTCAACGGGTCATAACTTCTTAGTTATAACTCGGATTTCAGCGTTCTTTATATGTATGGAAACCTTGTGACATATTCTACAACTTGGTTAAGATTATTTATTCTAAATAATCTTTTTGTCGAAAAGTCGTTTTTTTGACCCCTATTGCCTTTAAATTGACTAGCCCGAATCTGCGGGCGTTACAATTATCTCCCCCTTAGGATGATTACGTCCCGGAATCATCAACGAAAAAGGGCTCGTATAATGACTCCATACATCATCTCTTCATCCTAGGTAATAATTATAACTTCTATATTCCTTCAAGTCTATCTCTTAGACTCATTGACTGTAAGCAGTACCCGATCGTTTAGTACGTGAGTGTGGGCGGGGCCCATATCTCATAGCAGCTGAGTGTTGGCGGGGCCCATATCTCATAGCAGCTGAGTGTTGGCGGGGCTCGTATCTTATAGCACCTGAGTGTGGGCGGG